GAGAGAGAGAGAGAGAGAGAGAGAGAGAGACTTACCGAGAAATCTCCACAATTAAGACCAGAATCATTGGGATTTTCAATCGCCCCTGGTAAGTGAAATCGCCACGCGCTAGATCTACTCGGTGGTTCGTCAAGTATTGCATGACCATGTACGTTATTTACATTTTGACAATGTATAAAAATACTTATTAAAAATGTGATAGAAATTATGTATTTCATTATTATTTTTAATAGTATAATATTTATTTTATAAGTGATTGCCAATGAAAAGCCTAACTTTATATATTTCACCAAGGCCAATGTTGTAAAACACATGAATCAATAAAATTATATTTTTAAAATATATTATTATATTCCAAGTAATTAATTGTGATAAATATATTATTTAAGGATAAAATTCTTTTACATGTTTCTATTTATCAATTTATTATAAACTCGATTTATCAATTATGCTCAATTCAGAGAATAAGATGTGCGCCTACAGATGTACAATTATGATAACAGTACATTTATATGTATTTTTAATTATCTAGATTATAAATTTAGTGCAAAAGTGCAAAATAAGTTTCCAGGTAATTTTGACGCAAACATTCAATTCCAGTGAATGTACAAGGGCAAACTTTAAACTAGTTAAAACATATTTATTTAATTAATTATGTGATATTTTGGTTATAAATAAAGATTTATAAATGATGTTTAAATAATTCTACAAACCTTTCTCAACATTACATAAAACATTGAATATTAAATAAAATGTTTTTTATAATATTTCTCTCGGCGTTCATCATTCAGTCGACGGTATGTCACAACTCGGACTCAAGTGCCCTATTAGACGAGCCCCCGTCCCGGTCGAGCGCCTATAGGTTTTTCTTTAAAACCCTTCCCAACGATAAGGACGGCTATTTGAATTGCGGCGGATTTGACGTATGCATAACTTTATAAACATTAAAATATTGCATAACATCTACACTTTATGTTTTAATAAATAATAAAATATTGTGTAAATCTACCGTAGGGATTAACTGTCCAAATACTGCTGGCCATAACATGTTTAGTTATGATTACAAGTTATATATAAATAATAAATATTAAACTATACTTGTTTTTGGCCAGCAGTATTTGGACAATAATTCCCCATGGTATATTTGCACAATATTATATTATTTATTAAAACATTGATTAAAACGCAAACTTTTATTATTACTTATACTAAAATTAATCACATGTTTAGACCCAATGGGGAGTAAACGGCGGCAAATGCGGTGTATGTGGCGACCCATACAACGGCGCGCGCGATAACGAACTGCCATACGGTAAATACACTAAAGACCTGACGGTAACCCGGACCTACAAATCGGGCTCCACTATCTACGCCAAAGTGCACATGATCAAAAACAATGGGGGTCACTTTGAGTTCCGCCTGTGTCCGGCCACAGCCCTATTAAACAACGAGACCATACGTCAGGAGCCGCACGACTGGGTCCAGGAGGTGACCGACCAGTGTCTGGACAGTCACCGGCTGGAAGTGTTGGGCTCCACAGACGGTAACCGGTGGTGTTGGCCAATACCCGATCGCCAACAACAGGGTGTTATCTATCAGATTAAGGTTAAATTGCCGCAGGGTTTGCGCTGCGAACGATGCGTTTTCCAGTGGACGTGGGTTACCGCCGATAACTACGGGTGGTGTTCGGACGGCACCTGGAAGTTGGGCTGCGGACCGCAGACTACTCATAAGGCATGCGCTGATGTGCAGATAATTTAGTTGATTTTAATCATGTTGATTATATAAAAGTATAATTTCATATGGTTTAATTCAAAATAAAATTAATTATTAAATTTTAAAAAATAATATTTAATTGTTGAGACCCAATATAAGTTATCATAATTTAGTATATTTGTATATAATGTTTTAATATATAATTGTTACAGTTGCTATTAATTTTTATGCTAGTTAAAGCAATTTTTATGAATGCAGAATGTAAATGAAAATGAGCAGTTTTATGATTGATTTTGTTAAAATTTTTATAGACACACAGTATACAATGTAATTTGTGTTAGTAATACAGTATTACTTTCAATGAAACAGATAATAGTAATTAATTAAAATATCCAATAATTTTGGATGTCATTTTTAAAAATATATTATTTTACAACACTTGCTTAAATAACACGATTAATTATCACGATACTTTTCTTTTACACATCACTACTTTCAGAATGATTTTTATGTAAACATATTAATACATGATTTTGTGTTTACTATTAATATTTATTTAAAAAACATTATATTATAATAAAAATGATTTTAATATTCATATTTAATGCATCATTTTACCTTCATTTAACACATGCGCTCACAATTGATCTGAAATCAGGTACAATATAACATTTAACACACCTATGTAAATATAAAACTAAGTAGATTAATATAAAAGTTTAACCCATATTGAAACAATCTAATAGCTTTAATAAACCCATGCTCATTTATAGAAAACATACATGATCTAACGGAAAATCTAAACTTTCTACAATCATACGCTGACTATCACCGCAAAAAATTATCCCAGGACATATACCACTATCGGACCTTGGTGATGATGTCTATGCAATACGGTCGGCAAGCACCAGGCACGTATGGTGCCAACGAAATATACAACTATGTAGTATTTAGATACTATCAAGATAAAGCGCACAATGATTTTAAAATGATTGAAGATGGTACCTTAGGTCAATTAACGCCCGATGTTGTTCTACGTAACCTAACAGCGCTGGCTACAAATATGACCCAGCTTGAATTGGACACTCTAGCCGATCTAATGGATGATATTGCTGCAAGTTTCACCGAGTTAATTCAAGTGTCCGACATGCTAGATGCACAGGTGTCTATGATGAAATGGCCATGGTCATACTCCATTGACCAGGTGCTACCAAAACGTGTGATTCTTAAACCCTCATACTCTGACACTATCATGTTTGATGACTCGGTGTTAACGGGCTATTACCAGGCCAAGTTTGATGATTATGGTCGAATAGCTAAAAATATGCGACAGTATCTAAATGATCGTGATGGTACTAATAAAATAAATGACCCACTCATTGGTCCAATACCTAAACCAGTAAATAAATATTTAAACAAGCATTTATTCAAGGAGGTTCCCAAAGCGCATAAAATGCACCGTGTACAATTTATTAAAAAATAAAACTTTTATTAATCATGTTGCTATTTATTGGGTGTCAATGTCTGGGCCTCTGCGCGCAGTTTATCAACTGTTTTGCGTAAATATTTGTCCGCAAAGTTTTCAATATATTTCAACAACTCTTTCAACTCATAATTTGAAGCTCTTATATTGGTGTAAAACTTATCATAGTAAGGTTCCCGGAGTAGCTTGGCTATTTTCTTAACCACATCGACACCCTCTTCATTGGCTTTGACACTTTCCAACAGTGTATTACGTATTTTTAACTTATCACGTTGTTTATACTGAGATAGATTTGGATCCAACTTTATAAGACTGGGCGGATAGGGTTGAACAAAAAATTTTAGATCATGTGCGATTTGCTCAATTAGATCTAGCCGTTCAACTGCCATGCTTATTATTGAATCCTTTATTGATGATTTGCCTGTTTTAGCTTGTTTATTTGTATCACGTGTTTTAGTTTGAATTGTGAGTAGTTTTAAATATTTGCTCATCACCTTGTTGAATAATTGAGCTTTTGATGCGATAGCATCAAGCATTAGATTAGTTTCATTGTCCACAACTATAACTTTAAATAGAAATATATTTAAAATATAATTATAATATTAAACGTATAATTTTACCTGGGTTTGTTTTTGATTTGTTTAATGATAGCGTATTACACAAGAATAAAACTATTAAAATACTTATAAACATAATCAGATTATAATTAAAGTTTATGAATTATTTACAACAATGAATGTTTTATTGTTGTTTGATTGTGTGATATAAACTAGTGATATGAAAATGGTGTCCCTGCTAATTAATTATAAAATGTTACATGTGCAATAGAAAACAATAACTGTCAAAAATAAGCATAAGAGTTAGTAATGGTGTGCCATATGTTCAATAATAAAAGTGCTCAATAAGTTTTATAAATATGAATGAATATATTTTATTTGTAAAATTTTTTCAAACTATTACACACTATTAATTTTAAAATGTACAATGACATTTGATTTTGGTAAAGTAAGTTATATCGCATACAGATAAGACTGCAATTGCGGCAAAATTTTACAAAAATGTTTTAGAGTAGATGAAAAATAAATTTTACTAACTTTAAATTTTTTATTTAAATAATTAACGTTGTTAAACAAAAATCACTAAAAATTATTTGCTTTTTAAAACAACGTTATATTGTTTGGGAAACTGTAACCAAAGGTTAATTGGGTCGGCGTCTAGTGTTTCGTTTGTCGGATTACTGATAGCTATGTTATAATCGGTGGTTAACTGTAATAATCTGACCAAAGTTAAAAACAGTGAGTTTGTGGCCAACTGTTCGCCAATACACTGTCGACGGCCGACACCAAAGGGTATAAACGCCGCCGGTTTTACCACCACTTGTTTGCCCTCGTTGTCCAAAAAGCGACCAGGGTTAAATTCATCTGGCTTGTCCCAGTATTTATCATCCAGTAGAATTGAATATTGTTGTACAACTACGCTAGTGCCAGCTGGTATACTGTATTTACCTGGCGTGATTATCAATGTAACATGTTAACTCTAATATTATTAAGTTAGACAATATAAAGTATAAGTAATTATATGTGTAATTAATTTACCAATTTTTGAGTCCTTGATGGTTAAATGAAAGAAGCCAATGGGTGCTATATTTTTATAACGCATAATTTCCCAGATAAAAGCCATGGTGTAGTGCATACGGTGTTTGTCCTCGGTGATAACCGGTCGATCATCAAGCTCATTGGCAATCTCTTGGCGCAGTTTACGTTGAACCTCCGGATAATAAGCCACAAATAGTAATATCCATTGAAACTGGTGGTTTAAATCCGAACCGGCTAGAATATAATAAACAAGATTTATGAATTAAATTATAATAATACATAAATTGCATTGTGTGTGTTTTACTCACGCATTATCACATCCATGATAGTTGCGGTCAAATTGTCATCGGTTAAATATTGTGCTGACCCCTTGGCCTGAGTCTCGGCCTCGTGTTTAGCAGTAATAAGTAAATCGCAGAAATTATTTGTATTTTCCTTATCATAAGTTTTGGCGTGTTTTTCATAGATATCTTTTAACACGTCTTTAATTGTGTTGAAATATTGTTTGTATTTTGTCAATGGATTTGCCATAAAGTAGCGCAGTATGGGCACAAATTCGTATAGAAATAGCCAGTTACCCAGGTCAGATTGAAAGCCGTCGAAACAGTATTTGAACTTGTCCATTTGGTCCTTATTTATTTTGCATCTATTTTAATAAGTAATTTTGTTTAGTAATACTAATTATGTGATTAAATATTGTTTCAAATTACTGTTGGCTAGATGCTATTGAAAGTTGCATATTCATGAATAATTCCAATAAATAATCTTTAGGGTTAAATGGCTTATCGACGCCCACACTATCTTTTAAAACCGATACTAATTCACCGACATTGTTATTCACGCAATCTGGCAATTCATCGGATTTGGCATATTTACTATGACAAAAAATATTTAATATGGTGTTATAAATGTATCAATGTAACTTGCACATACCGCATAGCACTGTGACCCACTTTGCGTAGAGTTTCCCACATTTTACCATAATTGCTAAAGGCAATTTCTGCGTTGCCAAATGTTTCACCTAGTTTACGAAGGGCAACACAATTATTAATTAATTAAGAATTTGTTGTTTTTAAATATTAATGAAATAATAAAGCAATTAAATACCTAATTCAGAAGAGGGACGTCCGGAGAAATCCACCTTGGCAAATGCCTCCTTGGCTAGGTCTAAGTCACATATGATTACAAATGGCCATGGTCCAATCCATATAGTGTATACTGGGCCGTATATTTTGTACAATGTAATTAATTCGAGATTCCAGTGACCCTTAAAATTGCGAAATACTGTATTTGCATACATAAGAAAATATTAAGTTATTAGAAATTACAATTTAAAATATTATCATGGTGGTTTTTGTAAATTACATAGAACATTTCCCAGCAATGGTAATGGTTTAGGACCAGGTGGATAATTTTTCAGTTTAGCATAATATTGGGCCAAATACTGCACAATGAGTCCAATGCCTAACGAAGCTAAAACACTTTGAAATAAAAAAAATGCAATTAGTTAATTAATAATATATTACAATTTAATAACTTACATGTATAAAAACATTATAAAATATATTATGACAAATATTTTTAAAACTTGTTTAAATTATTTTGTAATATAAATCATTCTCAATTGAATTACTCTATTTATATAGTAAATTTATTTTATAAATTAGGATGTCAATGTCAAATCACTAAAGTAATATGTTATATGTAGAGTTACATATTTAATTGATTATTTTTAGTTATATAAAGCACCATATTATACAATTAACTTGCGTGTTCAAGATATTAGGAAATTTTAATAAATATTTACATTTAATATTTTATAAGTAGACAGATATTAGATAACGAATGTTACCCTGTTATCTTTATTTGCGTGTTGTAGATTATATTACATTTCAAATTTTGCAATAAATTCATTTAATTGTAACATCCTTATATAAAGTTTTGATCAGCAAAATCATAAATACGTTTAAAAAATTTAAAAATTAATAATCTTTTGTCTAAAAATATTTGTTAATTTTTAGATGTGATAAAATGAACAATGTAATTTTAAAATATACAGTCACTGTTAACGTTACTAAATTTATATACATTTCTCCCTCTAATTACCATTTATTAATTAAAAGTAAACTCAACTTATTGTATATGTGTAAATATTGTAAAGCTTTATATAAATGATCTCACTGATTAGAAACTGAAAGTTATTAGCAAATTATTAAATTAAAATTTATAGTTCATTAACCATCGACTGACGGGCCATTAAATGTGTTTAACTGTACATTGTACATGAATTGGGTGGATACTGTACCCTCAAAATAGAGAGATGAGCAAGGTGGTTAATTTGAAAATAAAAGTTCTGAAGTGGGTGCAGTGAACATGAAAAGGGTGTGTGTTCATGTTCACTTTTATTATTAACAAATCAACATTTTATGTTATTTAATATGAAACTATGTTAAATAAGGAGTCGATTAATCGTCCACATATGGCTCTCTGACTTCAGGTGACCACTTTTATCAGGAAATTTAACGTATCCAATACTAACTTATAATATATGAAATCAATGTAGAATTTAATGTAGAATTAGAATATTGTAATATCATCTCGATTGGTTGCATAAATTTTATGCTAATTTCTCAATACTGTTAAATATTAAATAAAATTAGCCAAATAAGCCATTACTCTGCTACCTTTGCACTCCATTGAGATAATATTACTATATTATAATTCCACGTTAAAATCTACATTGATTTCATATATTACATGTTAGTATTGTATAAATTAAATTTTCCGGTAAAAGTAGTCACTGCAACCGAACCCGAAGTCAAACAGCCATATATGAAAGATCAATCAACTTATTTAACATAGTTTCATGTCACATAACATAACATGTTGATTTGTTAAATAATTGAAGTCAATCTGAACACATACACAGTTCGCACCCACTTCAGATCCATTATTACCAATAATTTGCTACTAATCTAGACATTTTGCTCATATTGCCTATCCAGTCATATTTGAATTAATCAGACTCTGAATTTCTATTTTTGAGCACTGTAATACAGTGGTCTCGGCAGTCGTAACTTAAGTATTATTCTAAGTAGAATTACAAGCAATACTAAGTAATACTAAGCAATACTAAGCAATAACTTAGTAATACTAAGCAGAATTACACAATTGGTGTACACTATAAATACTTACCCGATATTTGCATACATACTAGTTTGATGTGATGGCGTTATTGACTATCAGGTGACTTATCAGCGATACTAACGGTTACACCAGGCCCCGGGAGTTTGTTTTCAAACATCAATTTTTAAATTTTTACATTATTATAAAACCCGATTGGATGTGACGTATGTTAAACTACTGCCGCCTCCCTATAAGACCTGGTAATAAAATATATATTTAATAAATATAAAAACACTTAAAATTATTACTATAACAAATTATTGTTTGTTAAATATTAACTTTAAAATTGGTATATTGCCGATTTTTTTGCACACTAACATAGATTACTCAACAAATGATTAAACTGCAAATTTCAAACAAAATCTACTAATATTATATATTCAATTTTATTTATAACCACGTAATAAACCAAATTAATCAGTAAGAACATAAATCCCAAATCAAATGCTGACAAGTCTACTGTATAGAAGCAACCACATACTGTATACTACAGTACTTTCATTTAATAGTAAAAGACATATGCAAAGTAAAATGTACATAACTAAAGCATTGACTTTTAGGTGACAAAAACCAGTCTTAAAGTCACTATAAAAGTTACTTAAAAATGGCTTAAAAGGTGCTAAAAAGGTGATAAAAAGTTATAAAAAAGTTATTTATTTCGCATCAAAATGATACATTCAAATATCAATAACATTCGTTTTTGAATTAAATTGTATCACAATGTATTTTTTGAGGTTTTCCGTTTCGAAACTCATTTGTCTGTCAATTAACAACTGTTTATTAGTCGAAAAAAGTTTAATGAAATGCCGATTATGACTAAAACCTATGACTAAAAAATTTTAATATCACATTACACCTGTTTTCATTTTTGAGTTGTTAAGTATTTAGTGATTTATCAATTAATGACGTATAAAATTAGCAAAATAGGCGAAAAGTTACTTAAAAGTTACTAAAGGTGCTAACGTCCCAAAAGGTGCTAAAAAGGTGAAATAAAAATCTTCCAAAATACTCCTAAAGGGGTATATGGTATGCCCCCAAACTTTCAGGAGGTTCTCCGCTTTCGGAACAAAAAGTTATTTAACTTCAAATCAATGCTTTATCGATAATAAATCTTATTAAAACCATATCAAAAGTAAATTATACTGTATATTCCTATTGTTGACAAAATATTGTAATTACTTTTTTGTGGATGTCGTGAAAATGTTAATATCATATAAAATGGTAAATCGATCAAAATAAATCTGCAAATTTAATTTATCTTATTGGTATAATAATAATATAATATCCAATTTATACAAATATAACATTTCTATGTTTTTCTTTGTTAATGATGATGAAAATTGTTATTATATTATCTAGATATTATTAGCATATTATTATTTTAATTTTAAGTTAATTTTGTGAATAATGAAATAGTACTTTGAATAGATTATTTATTTATTTAAATTAAATGTATTGTAAATAGTTAACAAAAGTTAATTTATAAAAACATAACCATAAATATAAGAGTTAACACTTAATAATATTTTTATTTACAATTATTACAAATATAATAATTATAATAACTAATATTTAAAATAATATTATAATAAAATGCAGTATAATGAATTTGAGACCATGTTTGGACATCCGTATGAGTTCATCGCGAGTAGACCTGTGGGTAGTTTTGCGCACCGGTTTGTGGAGCCCTTTAACATAACGCACGTGAACTGCACCCGCTTTCTGGCCAGTGATATACCCGATGAAAATGGCAAATGGATTATTGGAACAAAACCAACCAAGGTACTTAAAAATTTTACATATTATAATAAATTTAGTATAAATAATTGTAATTTACTATTATTTGTTTTTGACAATTTCTGAATAACAGAAAGAATTAATTCATACTGAAAATAACAATGGCTGGTATTTTAACACAATAGTTGTACCCATATTAATGATGATTGGGCACCGGTATAATTATAGGTATTTTTAAAAATGATTACTTTGCTTTTATTAATTGAGAGAATAGGTTAAGATTAAGGTCAAAACATAAATTCAAATTCGCTAATTTATTTTTACATTATCATTTAGTATTTCAATTAAAGTGATGCACGACTGCGACCAAGTAATGGCCAATCAATTTACGGTTGATCAAGATGCGAAACAATTAGCAATTCAAAAAGGTTTATTAACCATTAATGAATTATCAGAATTAGATTATGGTGTTGAGTCACTTAAATTGAATTGCACGAGGCCATTATACATGAGATACATGCTCAATTATGTAAGCTTGGATCAAGTGCAACCGTTGGCATCAATGATTTATGCGTTTAGTGTATATTCAAAAATTATTTGGTTTTATATAATAAGTAGTTTAATTTTAATGATAATCATTAATACCTTATTTCATTATTTGTCCACTGGTAAAATGCACATGGGCCATTTCGCTTGGATATTTTTTCAACCATTACTATTAAAAGGCAGTAATTACGTATTCGGTAGACGTAATTATCGGTACGCCCTGTGGTTGCTATCAATCACACCATTAGTATATATATTACAAAATGAATTGACGGCACAAATGGTCACACGAGGGGTCACTCACGCGGACACTATCGACGATATACTGGACAACCGATACGATTTATACACAGAACATGACGCGCTATACATATACGATAACCCGGGGTTTTCAGCTCGATTTAATGCAACCTTTAAGGTAGTGTTGCCACATTTATATAATCAGACAAATAGATTATATTAATAATTAAGCAAAATTTATGTGTTTCTACACGATTTTATTATGTTTAATTAAACCAGCAAATAACATTAAAAAACGTTTAATTTATTTTACTTATATATTTCCAAATTGTAAATTATTTGTAATATTAATTTGCTTACACTTATTTCAGGATAAATTTAAGAAATTACTAGTCAAATTGCATCGGACAACACAAGTGGATCATTTGAGCGCGTTTTTAATGGAAGTGCTGAAATCAAAAAATAATAACGATTTATTTAACACGCTTAAAAATATTGCATATGTCTACGAGAATAAAGAAAATAATATTTACGTTATTCTATTGTCCCGACTTCAACCAATGTACCAAGCGCAATCACCGGACGTTAACGTATTGATAACAATGCTATGTTATGGAAAGAATTTTCCATATGCTGATTATGCCAATACACTGTAATCAAAGGGAAATCAAATGTATACTTAATATTAATGATGATTAATTCATGTTTTATATACATTCTTTATAGTATTCAACGTCTATTTGAGTCGTCAATTCTATCGTATTGGTCAATTTTGTCAAACGATTTTGTATATTATGTTTATATTCAAATAATCAACCATGCGCATTTTATCGGTGACCGGCTTTTGTCTGACTTCTATATGGATCCCATTTCACTGTACGAACAATTATCGCAACACATATTTGTATCGATGTATCAATTCGTAGGCTTTTGTTATGGAGTTTCAGTGATTATATTGTTTTCAGAAATTGTATACAAAGAGTATTTCTATAATTATTAGACTAGAGTTGAGAAACAATTATGTGTAAATAAAGTTTTAATGAATTTGAATTATATTGTAATTTAATGCAAATATTGGCAACTACTGTATTTTCAAAAATAATTGTCAATATAAAGTTAAGGTAATTGTTTTATAACACAAATACAATATAAATTAATTGTTAGTTTGAAATAAATAACCAAAAACATTTTTAATGTAATAAATTACATAAAGACAATTTGGTAAATTAATCTAACTGTATCTAACAGTCATTAGTTAGCAAATGTCACATTTGAAATGTGTTATTGTAGAGTAAATACAATTTAAACAAATTAATAAAATGTGTATTGAAATACAATTATTGTAAATTGACCATACGCTGCACATTAGTGCTACTAGGGTATACATTAATAGTGATATTATTTCCATTAAATACTGTAAAATGACTGCATAATTGTTTAATGTTTACAAAGTAAATGTTTAATTTACGGTAAACATAACAGCAACAAATATGTATAACATTTGAAAGCAATATAATAGAAAAACCAAACCATAGACTGATATACGAA